GCAACCAACTAATGCCACCTGACCTTTAAAAGCAATCAGATAACAAACAGCAAAAAAAGCCACACGGAACAACAGAAAGTCTTCCAACTCCACTGTCTCTGCAAGCCCCTATTTCCCTCTGTCACTACCTGGTCTGGAGTGACACTGTGTGTTCAAAGCACTACAGCTACAACAAGGGCATTAGCTTGCAGTAAAAATGTTCCTGTCGCTTGCAGCTAACGCCAGTGTTCAGTGCTTTTGATTTACGCACTGAAATGCGTAACTGAATGACACTGAAATAGCTGATCATAGAATTTCTTAGTATCAGATTGTTCTGATACTAAGAAAAAAGAAATACTTATATATTTCTGTCTGTAATGTGTTTTGAAATTTAGCACTAAAGATAGATAGCAGAAAAAAAAAGAAAAAAGATTTAAACAATTTTATCAGTGGCTGATTTATTTCTGCTTCCTGCTCTCTCCGGTCGCAGTTCAGTGCAATCCATAAATAAGTTAGGCTGGTGAAGGAGATGGAATTTTTGAGGCTGCAGGAGCAAAGGAGCTGAAGTGCCAGAGGCTCACGACGCTTCCTCGAGGGACATGAGCCCCAGCACTATCGGGAGCCTGCACAGCTCTTCCAGACACAGACGCAGGCCACCGCGCCAACATATTTAATTACTTTACACTCTTTTGCACTGCCAAAGGACAGGCCCAGCACATGCTCCGGGCTCTGTCACTCTGGACGGTACAGAAGTAAGGCTATCTAAGGCAGTAAGGTACGTAAATTACAATACACACCAACATTTAGCAGCAAAATAGAAGTCTCAACCATTTTCCAGCATTCGGATCCCATCAAGTCTAAGATTTAGGAGGTTAAGAAAAACAGGGAAGCAAAACTTTCAAGCCGCAAGTTTTCCTAGGAAAACTCCTCCCAGAACCTACCCACGAGCGCACGGCCGAGCACAGCGCCGGGCCTGGAGCGGGCGCTGCCTCAGGGTGGCGCCTCATGGCGGCGCCTCGCGCGCATCTCCGCTGGGAGGCGTCCTCGGGCCTGTGGCGGGAGCAGCCCCAGCTCTCCCGGGACCCTCAGCCTCCCTCACAGCACCCAGGCACCAGGGGGTGCCAATCATGGATCATTGTTCATGAAAATAAAGCTTTGAAAAAAAATAAAATAAAATAAAATAAAAAAGGTGTGGAGAGAGACATACTATTAAAAAGTCACTTGACTGACTACCGTTTCAACCCATGTTCCACCTTTTTGCAAAGTCAGTCTGTAAAAAAACATATTAGTTGAGAAAATACGGCAACTAATGCAAAAAAAAAGCATTTCTTCAAAATGGAGTAACACGTACATTACCCTCTAGCCCATCAAGCGCTTAAGAGAAAAGCTGCCAACAGTACCAAATATAAACAAGAAAATGTAATATTTCACTGCGTCTAGTCAACACCAAGCAAGAACTGAATGCTGGAACTAAGCATTACCAGTTATTCATAAATAATAGATTTTTCCAGTTAAATATTTAATGCGATGGACGCATCAGCATCTGCCTTATAACAGATGCTCCTTGCAGCACCTCATGCTCTGCTCCCACTAGATCTCAGTGCAAGAGGGATCAATAACTTGGATGTGTGACGTTAAAGCAGAGATTCAGCAAAAGCAGCCGCACTGCTCATTAACCACCACCTCCCTGCCCTGAAGGGGACAGACAGCCGGTCACGTGTACCCCATGTCCAGACCATTGCTTCCTTCCTGGTATTTGGACTATTTCTCCATGACCATTAGCATACTTGCCAGTTGATGTCGTCTCTCTTTGATTCTTGAAAGAAAATCTAAAAATCTATAGAGTGTTTTTGGTCAGTATCGGTTTGGTTGCAAATCTTCATCCACAGCAATAGGGACGAGTGCTGCAGGCATCCACCTTGGCCAGATTTTTAACTGCCACAAGTACTTCCTGTGCCCTTGCAAGGTGCATGCAGCTGGCTGGAAGCCTAAGCACCTGCACGACTGGGCTCCGAATAGCTTTTACTTGAAGTTATACAGATGGTTAAGAAACTCTCACAACAGACAGGGTGCTTATGATTTATATTGATAACATTTCCCAAATGGCATTTCTCAGCTGATGCAGAGACTGTTTTACTTGCACATCTTTGGGGGAAGAGGTTAACAAGCCCAACAGAGACTTTTCTAGAGAACAAAGAAGTACCCCTAGTAGTACACTTCCCTTAAAAATAAGTGGGCATAAAAACTACAGATATAGCATAACATGAATTATTTAGTGCTTACAACTCCTCACAAAATAGAGACTATATATAAACACTGCATAAAATCAGATGGCATTCATCACTATTCTCTGCTTTGCACAGAATGAATTTACTGTCTTTGGAGAAAATTAGTATTTGGCATCCACGGAAAAACAGATCTTTAAAACTCTGAACAAAATTCTGTACTAAGACTCTTCTGAAAGTTCTCCACTTTAAAGACTAATGACATCAAATAAAATGGAAGACGAGTCACACAGAGGCAGCCTCCCTTTTACACGCCAAGAGGCTATGACAAGAAGAATAACTGGCTTTGCCAAAGTCACTGGCTCACCAGTGGTATACAGAAAAGTACTGCTCCAGCCTCAGGCCTATTCAAGAGAGGATGGGAAAGAGCAAAGAAACACATCTGATTCCTTACAAAACATCAAAGAAGTTTTACAAATAGTTTGCAAAGCACAGACATGGTTAAAACATGCAGTGGGATATTGTGTGCCTAGAACACAACATGGAAAACCAGGACACATTTGCATATATGTATTTAAATTTTAGCCATACTCATAATACTTAAGAACTCTTGAGACATAGTCCATGGTCTTTGTGTTCCTACTGAAATTCTGTAGATTCAGGATATTCCCAGAACAATTAATTTATTTCTAACATACATTTTGAAACTTTTTCTTTCATCCTACGTATTAGCAAAGGACACTTTTGAGCAATAAGTGCATTTTAGCGACTTAGTTTGCAAGTTTTTATAGAAAAAAAAGTAAAATTAAGTCAGACTTAAAATATTTTGCATGAGTTGAACATTGAATGATATATTATCTTTAAACTTACATTTTAGAAACTATTGCATAAAGAAAAAAATACCACTATCTAGCCACATATAGCATGAATAATCTTCCTAACACATATGCAGATGAGAACAGATAAAGCCGACGCTTATCCTGTAAAATAAATGCCTTTATGTTTTAAAAATAATGGAAATATTTATCTTTAAAGCAAATCTATTTCATAGACCATTAAACCAAAATCTGTAGGCTTAGCACTATGACGCTTTCGAACACTTAGAAGATTAATTCCTGCCTTTCGTCACAAATTGGAGGGAATGCCATTACCACACAGCCTATAGACTTTACTGGAGCATAACTGAAACCTCGCATCTCTCTCTCCCCGTAGCATCCCTGCCCCCTCTTCCTTCCAGCTCCATATATATATATACATACATATGAGGGCCTTCATACAAGGTGTACATTCTGGGATTTTTTTTGTGGATATAAGCTCAAATATCAAACCTGTGTAATCTTCCTTCTTTTAATCAAAAACTTTTTAGAAGAGCGTATTCATAATTTCCAAGTGTCATACTGCAGAAACAGAACTGCTACAAAACTATGGCGTGTTAATGAGCAAAAGAAAATTGTCTTTTTTAATATTAAAAAGATCTGCCAGACAAAATAACAACACCCTGCTTTAAATAAGAATGATAGAGCAGATAAGAGAGCACCTAAAGAGTTCTCATATATAAGCAGATACAGTACATTTCTTGAGGATGCTGCCATACTTACAGTTTGAAATCTTGTTATCAAGTTATGTATGAATTAAGTTCTTCTTATATCCTCCAAATGTATCCAAGCTTTTCTAAATATCTATATGTAATTGGTAAATTAAAAAATGAAAACTTGAGTACAACGTCCAATTTATATTATACATTCCCCATTACCACATTTTTAAATGTTCAAATCTGATTCTTTCTTGAGCTATACAACACACATGCAGATAGTATATAGGAGGAATTTTCCATTTTAGCACATACTCAAGTTTGTAACAGAACTACAAATAACTACTTTTCAGGGTCAAGAGAGTGAATGCTTTTTTAAAAGCTTCCCAAATCATATTGTAGACAAATAGTCTGTTCTTTTAAACAGTCAACAGTTTATCTGAATATTCATGACATGCAGAAGATAAATATCAATGTGATATGCAACATATATTTTAATATTTATTATTATCTTTTCTATCAAAATAAGCCTGAGTTTTAGATTACATCATCACTCACATCAAAAGTGTGAGTTACTGAGCATGTGAATCAACCTGACTACAGGTTTCAGTAGATCAGGAGGATGCTGATGGTTTAAACTTCAGACTGGATGCTATCATTATTCCTGTTATTTTTCCAAATGGCAGTAAGGCCTGCCTTTATGTTAGACTTGTCAAGCTGAGACATAATCTTGGGGAACGTAACTCAAACACAAGGATAGAAGGGAGAAAAAAGAAAAAAAAAAACACATACAATCTGCATTTACAATAGAAGAATATAAACTTAAAAATATTCCCAACATGTAGTTTGAAAAAAATTCGTATAGTCTCAAACTGTAAATATCAAGATACCTTTTCATTTGCTTTTACCACTATAAATGAGCATCAGGCAAAGTAAGTCCAGGGCCAGAATCTTTTATACCTTCATTTTATCAGGGAAAAGGAAAATTCCATTTTCTTTCTTGATAACAAAGAGCATACAGTACCACAAATAATATGCTTTATTTTTTCATCTTACTGACAAGGTTTTGTTAAGTTAGATAACTTCACGTACTACCAAAACCATTACCCACAAGAACAGCCATTTTATGAGTATTAATTTTTACAAGAACAATAATCAGATAACCTGTAGGTGATTACTATTCAGTAAAAAAATATAAGCACAGTTCTGAATGATATCTGGTGAGGCAGTTAGCAACTGTGAACTGCTGAAGACCCAAGTGCACAACCATTTTAGGAATCTTCCTCCATGGCCACATCTTCTTGTAGTTTCTGCACCATTTTGTCCTCCAGCTGTTTTGGTTTGCCTTCAAAGAAAAAAGGGGGGGGGATTAAATTATTCAATTGAAAATGTCACTCTAAAGCCAAATATTTTTTCCCCTTTTTTTCTGTTTAAATAATGTAGAAATAAATGTCATAATTACTGATCTGTATTCAGTCATACCAAGAAAAAAAAAAAAAGAGTTCATCATACTGTATGCACAAGTTAATCTAAGCAAATCAGGCAAACTGAGTACTTACTTGCATGTGGAGCACGAAGAAGGTGGATATTCTGTTTGACTTCCTTGATGTCTTCTGCTTTCTGCAGCTCTTTGCTCTTCTTTAATCTGAGAAGGGGATAGAAGAGGAACAAACAGGATTAAGTTACCTCCAAAGAGGGAGAGTTTTCTGTTTTTACCACATTGCTTGGGCTTCTGCATACATACCAAGCAAATAACCATTTAAAAGTTCTGATCATCATATCTTTAGAAAGACTGAATGGCTAATGTGGGAGCATTTGCAAATCCATAATACCAGTTTCTCTCCTTACCTGTTCATAATAAATCTAGCTTGGCGTTTCTGCTTGATTTCTTCTACTCTCTTCATTGCATCAACTGAAACAAAGAAAAAGTTGTTTTTAGTGTGCTTACGTACATACAATGGAAATCTCCTACTACTTCATAGAGCCATATTACAATATTCCAGAATACAAAACCTCTACTTGACATACAACTGTTATATTATACAAAGAAAGTTCTTCCTTCTTCAAAAGAGAGAATATTTTGTGTACCAACTATAAAAAAATAACTTCTACTTTTATGCCTACAGATATTTTCTACAGCTACCTATCACAACAGAAGACTCTGTTCTAATTCAAATCAAATGCAAGTTACCACACCCCTTTTAGTGGCATTTATTTGTAACTTAAAAATTAGTACCTCCTTCATCCTACATTGTTTGAGTTATTAAAACTGAAGCAAAATGAAACAAAGAAGGAACTACATCAGCATAAAAGGTGTACACTGGCAGCTGAATCACTGTAGTTTTTCAAACATAATAGATACAAATAGAGTAAAGACTCTAACTGCTTTCTAGAGGAGAAAATAACAAAACAAAAACAACTCTCATCTGCTCACAAGTCAAACCATTCTACATTAAGGATTTTGCCATAATTCCAGTACTTTCAGAGAACAATCACTGCAAGCGTCAATATTCTGATTGCTCTTCTGAAAACCCATGCATGCAACAGAAAATTTCACTGCTCCCAGCTCATCTTTTGTTTTTCCTAGGATGACTCACCAGTCTTGTTCCACAGCTCTCTCTGATACTTCACTGGTTCATTTCTACGTTTTTCAAACTCAAATGAATTATCCTATGTAAATAAAAAGTAAATAAAGATTATACATAGGAGCATACTTTGATCAATATACACTTATGGTAGCATTCATAATTATCAGATATGATCATTTTTGTTTTAGAGATTCAACTCCTACACTTCAATGACCTTTGGAGATAGCAAACTAGAAGGTAATACAACAGAATGCTCGACCTCAAAATGTCAGACACCACAGTGATTTGTCTGAAGAGAACTATTTACCAAAACATCTTTCTGGGCTATTTTCTTTCTAATGAGACAAAAGAAAGAGGGAGTCGCAGTCTGGAGAATGAAATAAGGAGTAGAATAGACAGGTATAAGACAAAAATGATAACATTAAGAGCTGAAAACATTTACTGCGGTTCAAAAAAGTTTTATTCAATAACCCATAATTTCTGAAAAGTTCAAAAAGAAACACTGTCTTAAGAACAATAACATGGTATTTCTTTTTGAAATTGCAATTTAATTCAATGCGATGCTGTGTATTTTTTTAATGGTTTGAGATTTTTTTTTTCTAAGTATACTTAGTTTTATATGAAGTTTAACTGAAGATCTTTCCCTGATAGGAGATCTTTGTTTTTGTAATGGTAGAGCAGAGCTATCAAACCAGCCGATGAACGAAAGACAACGAGAAAAACAACACACAGCAGCAAGAAACACCACAGACACACTCATAAGCTGTGCTCCATTACGTGACAAATGGATGTTAGTTCTTGTAATGGAAACGGGATAGCCTCAAACAAGCAAAAAAGAGAAAGAAAAATCAACAAGCTTTGGCACACACAGTATACTAACACCTCCTTCCATATGCTTCTAATGCATGGGAGATTTCAAAAGGTAACTCTTTTTATTCATACACATGTGTGTATATATATATATAAACATAAAAAGTGTAGACTTGCAAAGAGTACCCCATAACTAGATTATTGCTGGTTTACATAGTGAAGCCGAAAGGAGATGTGTCACAGTTGAGCTAATTGAATAAATGATTCCCCAGAAAAGTCTCACTTCACCTTTCACAGTCTCTCCTTTCCCCCACTTCCACCATCCCTGGCATTCATTGAGCTAAAGCATTCAACTAGTTAATCTAACTTGTCTGCAAGAAAGAGGTTCATTTTCTGCAATAATATAAGATCTACACCAGTTTGTTTTCTTACCACTGTCAATTCTTTGCCAGCCGCTTTCCGGAAGGCTTTCGTCCATCTAATCTTTCTAGGATTTCGCTTCTTTTTGAAGTTTTTGTGGCATTTTGATTTGCAGAATCTAAATATCTTGGAAAAAAAAAGAAGACAGAGTTTGCAGTTAAATTACATTATGCCTGCCCAGTTCCTAGCAAGTGTGATATCAAGCACTGAAGCTTCTCTGGCATCACCACTCACTGAAAATAACACCTTTCAAATTCCGATGTTTTAAGTTGCTCTACTGCTACTAAGCTTTACAAGAGATTTTATTTTTTTATTATTCTGAAAGCAAAACTGCATTATGGCAATTAAGGATGTTCTATTCATGTTCTCAAGTCAGCATACATAAATTTGGGGGGTTACCAAAATTATATAGTGTAACCATAACTGGCTATTTACTTGGCTTGAAATCCAGAAGAAACATGATGATACTCACTTTGGTTTCCTATCACAGAACACCAATTTCCCATAAACTCAGTGTTAAAGAATATAAGGATCTTGTCCATTAAGACTATTCTACTGCAGAATACAAACTGCAAAACATGTGCACAAGGAAGAATTACCAAAATTAAATCAAACTAAACTCTACTCTTAAAGCCAACAACTCATAATCACATAACTCTATTTTCCTCCTAGGGAATATATTTTTTAAAAAGTAGTTTAAATTTTCGATGTAAATGTGGAAAAAAAAAAAAAGTAGTTTACAATATAGCTAATTCCCATTGAAAACACCATTAAATTTCCAGAGCTTAAACATAACTAAAACCCTGCCTTTCTGCTTAAGGAGGTTTCTGATTAAATATGATATGATAATAGTCTGGTCATTCACGCCAGACTCTTTTATTCTGCCCATGAAATAGGAGCTGTTGTGCACCAGTCCGCCTCATAACTGGGAGGAGAAGCTGAAGTTGTTATGAAGCCTGGAATGGTTCCCAAACCACAATCCATGGGACAGCACTGCTGTGACAACCACAGGATCATGAGAACGGATCTGTAACACTTTATTTTCCCCCATTACGTGGTCTCTAAGAATTTTATCTCCTCGTTCTATATCTGGATCCCGCTCTGGCACTCACAGCTTAAAGCAGCTTCCCTGAAAGTTCCCCTTCCCTTTCCCTGAAAAGTTCCCTGAAAGTTCCCCTTAAAGCAGCTTCCCTAGAAAACGAAAGGCGGCAGCACAGTTTTGTCGCTGTTTCCCGGCGCCCAGCGTGGGCACTGCTGCCCACGGCAGCGACCCGTGTTCTCGGTGCCAGCACTGCGCGCAGGAGCCGCCTCCACCCGCACGTGCCGTGTCGCTCATGCCTAAAGGGCAAAGATGCTACCAACCCCACTCTCCATATGCCACTACATTTCCTTTAGCATGCCCATTCCAACTGCAGGCTCCCTAGGTCTCTATGCTGTCTCTCTTTCTTAACCCTAACCCTAGCCCTAACCCTAACCAGAGCAACTAAGCAGAGGGACATCAGGCCTAGTCCTGCACAAAAGGCAAATATTGCCCTTCAACCACTCTGCATATCCTGCTACATTTCCCCTGGCATGCTCATTCAAACGACACTCTGCTTAGGACTCTGCGCTGTCTCTCTTCATTAACTCGAACCCTAACCCTAACCAGAGCCACTAAGCAGAGGGACATCAGGCCTAGTGCTGCACAAAAAGAAACAAGTGCCCTAGAACCAAACAGTATATCATCCTACAATTCCCCTGGCATGCCCATTCCATCTGAAGACTCCCTAGGTCTCTATGCTCTAGCTCGTCTTTAACCCTAACCAGAGCAACTAAGCCTAGTGCTGCACAAAAAGCAACAAGTGCCCTAGAACCAATTAGTATATCATCCTACATTTCCCCTGGCATGCCCATTCCATCTGCAGACTCCCTAGGTCTCTATGCTGTCTCTCTTTCTTAAACCTAACCCTAGCCCTAACCCTAACCCTATACCCTAAGGCTGGGGGCACCAGGCCTAAATGCTGCCTAAAGGGCAAAGATGCTACCAGCACCACTCTGCATATGCCACTACATTTCCTTTAGCATGCCCATTGCAACTGCAGACTCCCTAGGTTTCTATGCTGTCTCTCTTTCTTAAACCTAACCCTAGCCCTAACTCTAACCCTAGCCACTAAGCATATGGTTTTCAGGCCTAGTGTTGCCCAAAAGGCAAATACTGCAATAGAATCACTCTGCATATCCTGCTACATTTCCCCTGGCTTGCCCATTCCAAACGTAGCCTCCGTAGGACTCTGTGTTGTCTCTCTTCCTTAAGCCTAACCCTAGCCCTAACCCTAACCAGAGCAACTAAGCATACAGACATCAGGCCTAGTGCTGCACAAAAAGCAACAAGTGCCCTAGAACCAATCAGTATATCATCCTACATTTCCCCTGGCATGCCCATTCCCACCGCAGTCTCTTTAGGACTCTGCGCTGTCTCTCTTTCTTAACCCTAACCCTAGCCCTAACCCTAACCAGAGCCACCAAGCATAGGGACATCAAGCCTAGTGCTGCCCAAAAAACAATGAGTGCCAAAGAATCTCTCTGCATATCCTCCCACATTTCCCCTGGCATGCCCATTCTAGCCGCACTATCCTGAGGACTCTCTGCTGTCTCTCTTTCTTAAAGCTAATCCGAGCCCTAACTCTAACCAGAGCCACTAAGCATAGGGTTTTCAGGCCTAGTGCTGCACAAACAGCAAATACAGCCCTAGAACCACTCTGTATATACTGCTACATTTCCCCTGGCATGCCCTCTCCAACTGCAGTCTCCTTAGGACTCTGTGCTGTCTCTCTTTCTTAATCCTAACCCTAGCCCTAACCCTAACCAGAGCCACTAAGCCTGGGGGCACCAGGCCTAAATGCTGCCTAAAGGGAAAAGATGCTACCAGCACCACTCTGCATATGCCACTACATTTCCTTTGGCATGCCCTTTCCAACTACAGACTCCCTAGGTCTCTATGCTCTAGCTCGTCTTTAACCCTAACCAGAGCAACTAAGCCTAGTGCTGCACAAAAAGCAACAAGTGCCCTAGAACCAATCAGTATATCATCCTACATTTCCCCTGGCATGCCCATTCCATCTGCAGACTCCCTAGGTCTCTATGCTGTCTCTCTTTCTTAAACCTAACCCTAGCCCTAACTCTAACCAGAGCCACTAAGCATAGAGTCTTCAGGCCTAGTGTTGCCCAAAAGGCAAATATTGCAATAGAATCACTCTGCATATCCTCCTACATTTCCTTTGCCATGCCCATTCCAACCGCAGTCTCCTTAGGACTCTGTGCTGTCTCTCTTCCTTAACCCTAACCCTAGCCCTAACCCTAACCAGAGCCACTAAGCATAGGGACATCAGTCCCAGTACTGCACAAAGAGCAAATACAGCCCTAGAACCACTCTGCATATCCTGCTCCAGTGCTGCCCAGAAAGCAAATATTGCCCTACAACCACTCTGCATATCCTGCTACATTTTCCCTGGCATGCCCATTCCAACTACAAACTCCCTAGGACTCTGTGCTGTCTCGTTTTTTAACCCTAGCCCTAACCCTAACCCTATCCCCTAAGCCTGGGGGCACCAGGCCTAAATGCTGCCTAAAGAGCAAAGATGCTACCAGCACCACTCTGCATATGCCACTACATTTCCTTTGGCATGCCCTTTCCAACCGCAGTCTCGCTAGGACTCTGCGCTGTCTCTCTTTCTCTGGACACCGCAGCGGACCCGAGTGTGACCTTAACCCCGAGCGCTGCGCTTCTCCAGGAGAATCGCTGCACCCCGGGGCAGGAGGTCAGCACTTAGCTGTACGCACAAGCTGTAAGGGGTTGTGCTGGGCTGTGCTTTGTCACCAAGGGCTTCTCCTTCCAAACACGGAATAATAAGTGAAGTAGAAATGTCCAGTATTAACGTTGATTTGCTCTACAATTAGGAAGATTATTTCTTGCTCCATTTCCTTACTTGTAAGATTGATGCTTTTCCTATAAAGGAACAATTTTTCTTTAAGCAGAATTTGAAGTACTACCTAAAACTATTGGCTTGGCATCCATTGCTCTAAGGTGCCCTTGCTCCTGGTGCTCCTCCTGCCACAACTTTCCCTGTTTCTTGTGAAAGGGCCACGGGCCGGCTGCTCTGCGCCTCCAGGGGCTATCTGGGCCTGGACTGGGACCTCCTCTGTTACCTGTCCCTCAACGCCAGGCGATCTCCCAGGCTTCCAGTGTCGAGTCTTCCTCGGGACACAAAACTCCAACACCAGGATGGCTGCTTCTCTGTTTAGAGGGACCTACCCACTAGACCAGGGCCAAATCCACGTGCTAAGTAGTACTAAATAGCACATGCCTCTATCTAGGGCTGTTTTTGGTTTTGGTTTCTGGAAAAACAGAAGAAGGAGGATTGTATCGCAAAAGATGGAAGAAAGAAAACAAAAACTGCTTTAGCTGGGCAGATCCAGGCACCTCACCAGGTGCAGAGGTGCAGCTCGAGGGCAAGACCTGTGACTAGCACTCACCCCAGTCCCGAGGCAGCCTCAGCTGATGCAGACAGCGACAGCACTGCGCAGGATATTCGTCTCATGCTACGTGCCGGAGGGCAGGTTCTGCGGCTCTGACAGAAAACGACAACCCAGCTGATAAGAGGAAAAAGTAGAGACACAGAGACGAGACAGTATTAGGAGGGACGCTATGAGGACACTAAGTTTACAACTAGAGGCAAAACCACAAGGCAGTAAACAAGTTTACGTGGGTCTAGGGCAGCTGTGCTTTGGCATATGCAATTACAAGCCTTCTTCTCTTTCACTCTGATTAGTTTGAGTTTCCAGCCCATATGACTTTTTTCCCATGGGCTTATTTATTTCACTGCAGACAGCTTGCTCCTGGCACAGTATTATATTGTGAGATCTTTGGTAGCTTCTGTGATTTAAACAGGGCAGATTACAGACTCTGCCACCAATGCCTCCAACAGACAGATAGGATAGGAAGGCAAGCATCTGCAATTAGATGTATTTTTCCTCCAGGAGAATTTTCATACCAAAGTGCTAATCTCTTTCAAACACATACCCAAGAGAGAGTCATTAGACAACTTTCACAGAGACACATGTACTTACAAGTTTGGGATCATAAAAAACAGAATCATGTA